CCCGGACCCCCCAAAAACCCCCTCGAAACGACAAATCCCCCTCCCCAAAAAACCAGCTTCAAAAAGACCCCAAAACAGCCTCAAAGACACCCAAAAACAGCCTCAAAAACACCCAAAAACAGCCTCAAAAACAGTTTCAAGAACACCCCAAAACAGCCTCAAAAACACCCCAAAAACAAACTCAAAATCACCCCAAAACAGCCTCAAAGCGCCCCAAAAACACCCCAAAAAACAGTCCCAAAACAGCCTCAAAAACACCCAAAAAAAAGCCTCAAAACGCCCCAAAACTGCCTCAAAAAAACCCCCCAAAAAACTCCCTCAAAAAAAAACCCCTCAGAAAGAGCCCCCAAAACCCCGCCTGACTGCACAGCCTGAAGGAGAACCCCCAACCTCTCACTGCTCCCCGAAAAACACCCCAAAGCCCCCCAAAAACGCGGGGGGCCCTGAGGGGAATTGGGGGGCACGACCCCCTCCCCAAAAAAACCTCCTGGGGCTGTGGAGACCGGGGGTCCCCCTAAACTCTGAGGGCCACGATCTCCTCTAAAAGGGTCCAGAGATGTTGGGAGACCCCTCCGAGGGTCCCCAGGGCTCCGGAACCCCCGCCCCGAGGCTTTACAGAGCCCAGAGCCCCCCAAAAATGCGCCCACAGGTTCCCCCCTGCCCCTGAGGGGCCCTGAGGGTGAGGGGACCCCCAAAAGGGCCGCAGGGCCCCGGGTCCCCTCGCAGCGCCCGTGGGGTCCCGGCCGCCTCCTCCCCCCGCGCTGCGGGACCCCCCAAAGAGCCGCGGGACCCCCCAAAAGCTTTGGGAACCCCCAAAAAGCCCCCGAGGGCGCCTCAAGGCCGGCGGGACCACCCCGAGGCCTGCGGGACGCCGCGAGGCCTGCGCCCCCCCCACCGCCACCTCGCGACTAGGCCGCAGCTCGCCCCGCCGAGGCCCGGCGCTTCTCGCGGCCGCTCCTCCGCCGCTGCCCGCTCGCCGCCGCCGCTGCCGGCCCCGGGCCCGGTGCTGCCGCCGCCGCCGCGGCCTCTGCGCGCTCCGGGCCGCCCGGGAAAGTTTTATTCAAACGCGGAAACGGGGAGGGAGGGGGCGGGGCCCGGGCGCCATTTTGGCTGCGTCGCGCCGCCATCTTGGGAAGGGCGCGGGCTCCATTTTGGGAAGGACGGGACGCCCCCATTGCGCGTGCGCGGGAGCGCCGCCATCTTGGGCGCGGCGCCGCCATTTGGAGTGTGGCGGGGCCGGCCGCCATCTTGGGTGTGGCGGGGCCGGCCGCCATTTGGGGAGTGGCGCACACCAGCCACGCTTTTATTTCTTACATTTTAAGATTTTTTTTTTCTTTTTTTTTTTTTTTTCGCGCTTTTTAACAATCTCCCCGCAAACCCAACGCCTTCCCCACCCTCTCCAACCACAACACCCGAGAATTCACCCCGAAACCTCGCTGGCTTGGTGAAGGGGTGAGGTAGATGAGCGGAAAACACGACAAAACGACCCAAAATCGGGCTGAGGGAGGGGTGGAGGGATGAGGGAGGGGTTCTTGCACCAGTACGACCAGTATGGAGGGGGTGGGACACCAGTAACTCCAGTACAGCCAGCTCCCCTCTGCTGCGCTCGCGTGAGGGGGAATTCCAGGCCTGTGAGGGGCTTGGGGTGAAAAATGGGAATTTCGGGGGTTTCTGGAGTGGTCCGAGGGGAAAAAAGGGAATTTGGGGATAAATGAGAGGTTGGGATTCAACCGTTCGTGTTTTGGGGGAAAACGAGGCCGTTTTGGGGGCCTAAAAATCGGGGTCGTTTCGTGTGGGGACAAAAAGAGCGGCAAGGCCCAGGAAAAAGGGATTTTTGTGTGAAATGTGGAGATTTTGGGGCTAAAAACCGGGGCGATATCCCGACAGGGGAAGGGCAGCCCCTGTAAGAGACTTTTTGGGGAAAAGGATGTGATTTGGGGAGCAAAAAGTGGGGAAATGTCGTGGGAGGGGTAAAAAAGGAGGAGATAGGCCCAAAAAAGGGGTTTTGGGGTGAAACGAGGCGATTTTGGGGCCAGAAAGTGGCATCGCATTCAGGGGGTGTGAAAAAGAGGGGGGGAAAGGCCACAAGAAAAGGGAGTTTTGGGGTGAAACGAGGTGATTTGGGGGGTAAAAAATGGGGTCACCTCATGCAGAGGGGGAGAGGCCCAAAAGGGATTTTTTTGGGGTAAAATGAGGGATTTGGGGCAGAAAATTGGGGTGGGAAGGGCACAAAAAAGGGGGAGTCTGGGGGTGAAACGAGGGGATTTTGGGCACCAGAAAGTGGGGTCACCTTGCAAATGGGGAATGACCCAAAAACGAGGGGTTTGGGGTAAAATACAGCGATTTTTGGGGGCCAGAAAGGGGGGATTTGGAGTCCAAACGAGGTGGTTTTGGGGCCAGAAATTGGGGAGCTCGGGTGATCCCAAAAAGGGGATTTTTGAGGGGGAATTGAGGCCAAAATTGGGTTCAGCCCCCAGGGGCAGCAAAACCAGAGGAATTTCGGGGCAAAACAAGGCAATTCTGAGGCCAGAAATTGGGGTCGCAGCACAGGACCCGAAAAAGGGGAATTTTGGGGTGAAACGAGGTCATTTAAGGGCTGGAAATTTGGGGGGGGAGGGGAGCGGTAAAACAAGGGGGGGGTTCGGAGTGAAACGAAGTGATTTGGGGGCCAAAAAATTGGGGTTTTGACCCAAAATCGGGGGAGTTTGGGGGGGGGTGGGGGTCCCGGGACCCCCCCTCACTCGGCCCCCGGGGGGAGGGGGCTGCCCCCCCCGCGCAGGGCGGCTTTGGGGGGGGGCAGCTCCCCCCATTTTCGGGGGGTCCCGCGGGCGCCGCGCAGGGTGGAGACCCACGAGGAGGTGGCCTGGGGGAGGGGTGGAAAAAGGGGGGGGTTCAGGTTTTGGGGATCCCCCCCAGCCCCCCAAAAATGGGGTTCAGGACCCCCCAGCCTCCCAAGAATCCCCCCAGCCCCCCAAAAATGGGGTTTGGGACCCCCCAGCCCCCCAAAAATCCCCCCAGCCCCTCAAAAATGGGGTTCAGGACCCCCCAGCCCCCCAGAAATGGGATGCAGGGACTCTCCAGCCCCCCAAAAACAGAGTTCGGGAACCCCAGCCTCCCAAAAATGGGGTTCAGGACCCCCCAGCCCCACCAAATAATCCCTCCAGACCCCTAAAAACCCCCCCAGCCCCCCAAAAAGGGGGTGAGGAGCCACCCCAGACCTCCACAAAGCCCCCCCAGCCCCCCCCAAAATTGCCCCCCAGCCCACCTGGGCCCGCGCCGTGTCCTGGACCCACTCGTCCACCAGCCGGTGCAGGTCGTCGGTGAAGAGCCCCTTTTTTTGGGGGGCCGGGGGGTTTGGGGGGCCCGGGGAGGGGGCTGAAGGCTCTGAGGGTGGGGAAGGGGAGTTTGGAAAAGGGGGGAGCGCCCCAGTTCCCCCCCCGCACCCCAAAACCCCCTCTCTTTAACCCAAAACGCCTCCCCGCTGCACCCCAGAATCTTCCTTCGTGACCCAAAATCCTCCCTTCACACCCCAAAATCCACTTTTTGCCCCCCAAAACCCCCCTTTATACCCCAAAATCCCCCCATTGTGCCCCAAAATCCCCCCTTTATACCCCAAAATCCCCCCATTGTGCCCCAAAATCCACTTTTTGCCCCCCAAAACCCCCCTTTATACCCCAAAATCCCCCTTTTTGCCCCCCAAAATCCCCACTATTTTCCACAAAACTCCTCTTTGCACCCTAAAATCCCCCTTTTTCACCCCAAACTGGGGGGGGGTCCCGCCGCCCCCTCCCCATTTCGGGGGGTCCCCCCGGGCCTCTTTGAGGGCTCGGAGCCTCCGGTGCAGCTCCCGCAGCTCCCGGTCCTGCCGCGCCCGCAGCTCCAGAACCTCCTGGATGTGCCTGGGGGGGCCGGGGGGGTCACAGGGGGTCCCCAAATCCTTTCCCGGGACCCCCAAAACCCCCCTGGGACCCCCAATGCAGCTCCTGGATGTGCCCTGGGTACCCAGAGGGGGTCCCTGAGCCCCCCCCAAAACCCCCATGGGACCCCCAGGGACCCCCAAAACCTCCCCAACCCTCTTGAAATCCCTCCAAGCCGCCCAAAACCTCCCCAACCCCCCCCAAAACCCTCCTTAGGACCCCCCAGAACCCCCCCAAGCCCCCCTTTGGGACCCCCAAAACCTCCCCAGGACCCCCCAAACCCCTCCAGGACCCCTCCCCAAAAGCCCCTCCCTCACTTTTCCCGCAGCCGCCGCAGCTGCTCCCGCAGGGCCTCGTCCTCGGGCTCCGAGTCGCCGTCGCTGCTCAGGGGGGTCTCGGGGGACCCCGGCCCGAGCAGGGGGGCCCCGGGGGGGTGCGGGGGTCCCCCCAAGCCCCCGCTCTCGCTGCCCGAGCTGGGGTCCCCCCAGTCCCCCTCGGGGTCGGGGGGTGGCTGGGGAGGGAGCGGGGGGAGAGAGGGGTGACAGGAGATGGGGGTTTGGGGGCCCCCAGGGCAGATTTGGGGGTCTCTGGGACAGTTTGGGGGGGTCCCAGGGGCAGATTTGGGGTCCCAATGACAGATTTGGGGTCCCAATGACAGATTTGGGGTCCCAGTTGGTTTTTGGGAGCCCCACAGGAGGTTTGGGGGGGGTCCCCAACACCCACCTGGCAGCGCCCTCGCCTTGGGGGGTCCCCGAGTTCCTCTGGCTCCTCTGCGGGACGGGGGGGGTCAGTGGGGGGCTCAGAGCCCCGCGGGGGTCCCCGGGGGGATTTGGGGTCCCGGGGGGGTCAGTGGGGGGCTCAGGGGCCCCTGGGGGTCCCCGGGGGATTTGGGGTCCCCCCCGTACCTGTGTGGGGGTCCCCCCCCCCGGCGGGGGGGCGCAGGCGCCGGGCCCAGCTCTTGAGGCGCCGCCCCCAACCCTTGCGGGGGCTGCGCAGGCGGGGACAGAGCCCCAGCGGGAACGGGAGACCCCCGGGAGGGGCAGGGGGCACGGCCTGCGGGAACACGGGAATGGGAATGGGATTGGGAATGGGATTGGGGGATTGGGAATGGGAATGGGATTGGGAATGGGATTGGGAATGGGGGAATGGGATTGGGAATGGGATTGGGATTGGGAATGGGATTGGGAATGGGGGAATGGGATTGGGAATGGGATTGGGATTGGGAATGGGATTGGGA